GCTGTGAAACAATACAATTAAAAGCATTTTGTAAGTGGTCGTTGGTTTCCAATTCAGTTGATAACGATGCGGAAATGTAACTGCTATGTAACGATTGACACTGATACTGCACAATATACCAAATTGTATTGCGGTCAGTACAGTATTAAGGAAGCCTGATGCAACACAAAGATCATGACTTTGTGGCGATTCACCGTGGAGCGCTGTCATTACTGTAAGAGGCATGATAAACGCTGCCATACAGAAATCTGATGTTGCTAAAGCCATCACCAAAATTGCTGATGAAGACTTCCTGAGACTTGTAACGCGCCAAAATGCAATATGAACCAGAAGATTACCAAATATTGAAACTATGGCAGTCGTGACTATTGCCACGACGAGAAAATAGATTCCAGCATTTGGTGTGAATTCTTTATGATTGCTGTTGTTGGTTTTGTTCCCGTATAGACTTTCCATCGCCAACACAGCTAACAGTAAATAGTTATCTTGTAATCCTTGTGATCACTCCTAAAGTCCTGTTATCCGCGATTTATGAAAATTGATCCCTAATTTCAGCCACTAACGTTTCATTAATTCTAAGTGTAAAATTAATATTACATAATATTACTTAAATTTCTAAATTATCAAATTAATGTTACTTATTAGGTAGGTTTATGAAGGTATTTAAAGAGATCAAAACTATGACTTCAGTGTTGTGTATTGAGACATTCATGCAACGTTGCAAAAATATTTGCGTTGAGTATGTTATTCTCACAAATTAATACTAACTCCGTTTTCTAATATAATGAGCACTGTCCCTTATGTCTAGAATTAGCACTGAGAATTTTACAAATTCTTTAAACTTGCTTGTGCTGTGTGATTTCAACATAAATTGTGGCCCAAAGGTATATAGTTTATAGATGTGCTCATTAATGTACAGTAATAACATCTCTATTAGAAGTTTGCGTTTATAATTATTCATACAGAGTCCTCCAATAACGATCATAAGTTACCTGTAAATGCTTGTTTTTCATACACTCCAAATTTGTTTGTCAACAGTACTTCGTCCTTTGGTATAAAGGTGTGTCGTATATGTGTATAGTCTAAAGATCTTTACGACACTTTTCAGGCACGTTCACAACCATATGGAAACCAGACTTTTCTTTTTTGTATCGAAATATGCGTGCAGCTGCTAAAGATAGAAATTTGTTCGTGGGAATCATGGCCGTAAAACTGAATTATAACTTTACAAATGTAGACATTGTGCGCACGCTGGCGTATTCTTGTTATTGGCGTTGGCCTTGTTAGAGGTCTTATACAAAAAAATATTTTATTAATCTCATTATGGGATCCAGCTGGCGTGGGCGAATGGATCGTGACTAAAACACCACACGAGTACATACGAGTAACATACGAGTACGTACGTACGGTGGCTCACAAGGGCCACCACACAAAATAAAAATATTAATACACACACAAAATAAAAATACACACGCAAAATAAAAATATTAATACACACACAAAATAAAAATACACGCAAAAAAAATACACAAAAAAAAAATATTAATACACACAAAATAAAAATACACAAAATAAAAATATTAATACACAAAAATAAAAACACACGCAAAATAAAAAATACACAACAAAATAAAAATACACACAAAATAAAATACACACAAAAAAATAACACACAAAATAAAATATTAATACACAAAATAAAATACACACAAAATAAACACAATACACAAAATAAAAATACACATAAAATAAAAATACACACACAAAATAAAAATACACACAAATAAAATAAACACACAAAATAAAATAAAATAAAAATACACACACAAAATAAAAATACACACGCAAAATAAAAATACACACACAAAATATGATTGCGGGCGCTTGCAGTGTCGGCTTACTCGGAATTGCTCGTAATTGAGCGCATCTGTTTTCAAAGTTCTAATGGTTCCAACTTCCAGAGTACATAACAAAATTCACTGATTTCACTGTGATCAATTATTTCAAAGTTGCTTACAATATTGCTCCCCGTATTCTGGTTAAAATTAAGGTTAATGTGTTGTCCTTTGAAAGGACATTATTGCTCTAGCCTGTCCTGTATTTGTTATAAACAGCTTTGGGTACTTGAAGTTGAAGTTAACGGACTTGCAGAGCTCGAAGGGCAACTGCTTGAAGAGACGCTACTCGTCATTGACGCTTCAGAACATTTTGGCAAAGAAGTTAATCTTCCCAAACGCACACCGCATTTGTGACAAAAAGAAGCTTCGTCAAGTGATTGTGCACCACAGTTGGCACAAAACATAATTATGCCAGGATTATGCAAGAGCTTGCTTTCGATTCCTTTCCAAATGTAATTTCAAATGTTTCGCAGTTGAAACAGTTAAATACGACGACAAGTCGACCAAATGTTAAAATCACAATTAGTGAATTACACATATCTGATTACAAACTGATAATATGATAGTCAGACCATCCGACACTGCAAGCGCCCGCAATCATATTTTGTGTGTGTATTTTTATTTTGTGTGTGTATTTTTTTTGTGTGTATTTTTATTGTGTGTGTATTTTATATTGTGTGTGTATAATGTATTTTATGTGTATTTTATTTTGTGTGTGTATTTTATTTTTGTGGGTATTTTTATTTTGTGTGTGTATTTTATTTTGTGTGTGTATAATGTATTTTGCGTATGTATTTTTATTTTGTGTGTATTTTTATTTTGTGTGTGTATTTTATTTTGTGTGTGTATAATGCATTTGTGTGTATTTTATTTTGTGTGTGTATTTTATTTTGTGTGTGTATTTTATTTTGTGTGTGTATAATGTATTTTATGTGTATTTTATTTTGTGTGTGTATTTTTATTTTGTGTGTATAATGTATTTTGTGTGTGTATTTTATATTGTGTGTGTATAATGTATTTTGTGTGTATTTTTATTTTGTGTGTGTATTTTTATTTTGTGTGTGTATAATGTATTTTGTGTGTGTATTTTTATATTGTGTGTGTATAATGTATTTTGTGTGTGTATTTTTATATTGTGTGTGTATAATGTATTTTGTGTGTGTATTAATATTTTTATTTTGTGTGGTGGCCCTTGTGAGCCACCGTACGTACGAGTGACATACGAGTACATACGAGTAACATACGAGTACATACGAGTGACATACGAATATTTTCTGGTCAACAAATGAGAAACAACACAATTTCTTCAATACATTGATATTTGCGTTTATTTTTCCTTGTATTTGTGTGGACTTTGGGGCAACCATTTGATGGATTTAAATGCTGAAAAGGTATTTTACTTTCATACTACATTCATTTGTATGTTTTAGTTGAATTTGTTATAGATATTTTGTCGATGCGATTTGCCAGTATTTGAGCGCTTTTTGAAACACTTTCACCTAGGAAATACATATTTATGAAAGCGATTATACATTCATTTTGAAAGCATTATTTATACGTTGTTTATTTAATCGCTTTCATAAATATGTATTTCCTAGGTGAAAGTGTGTCAAAAAGCGCTCAAATACTGGCAAATCGCATCGAAACATACAAAACATACAAATGAATGTAGTATGAAAGTAAAATACCTTTTCAACATTTAAATCCATCAAATGGTTGCCCCAAAGTCCACACAAATACAAGGAAAAGTAAACGCAAATATCAATGTATTGAAGAAATTGTGTTGTTTCTCATTTGTTGACCAGTATATAGTCGTATGTCACTCGTATGTACTCGTATGTTACTCGTATGTACTTGTATGTTACTCGTATGTACTCGTATGTACTCGTATGTTACTCGTATGTACTCGTATGTACTCGTATGTACTCGTATGTACTCGTGTGGTGTTTTAGTCACGATCGGGCAAATGATGTTTTTTGACTCCCAAAATATTGGTTGAAAATCATTAATTGACGATTTGACGCTCTAGTTTATTATAAATATTTGAAATACCTTTTATTACTGTGAAGTAATGTTTTTTTTCTGTGCTAATTTTGTAAGCACATTTATGATGTTGTTTAGAATACCTCCTTGTTTGTCAAAATTTATACATAGAGAAACTTATCCTCTATCCACTATCCTTTCGGAACTTGACGAGCAATCATTTATCTTATCAAGACCAATATATTTACTTATGATGAGCTCTATTCATCTTTTCTTTATAATGACCAATGTCTTAATGAATGGTTCACGAAGGATTTACCATTTATCAAAGAAGGTGACACTGGTTGCATTGTGAAAATCATCAATACTCCTACTGAGGAGAAGGCAATCCGTAAAATCGAAGCCAAAGTATTGAGGAGCCAGGAAGACCAGAATACAGAGATGGTATTAATTTATTTAAAGTTAAACCAAACCGCGACTTTTCCATTGATGAAAGTGGGTTCTACTTAGCAAATTATTATAAATATTTGTTAGAGGAATATTCTATAGTGCACGATAGGCCAGATATTCTGTTTCTATGTACGTCTTAAAAACATAAAACATTTCAAAGAATATAACTTATGTTGAGATAGCAGTGAACAAGGATGTAATAGATTTACTAACTACTTTAAATATGGAAGGAAAGACGAACTAAGTAGAAAGATAATTTCGACTGTTGGTATAACACTGCGATGATGTATGTAGTCTGTTTTCGTATTTGCTCTCACCCCAGCCCTGCAGATTTTAATATTGTTGAGGAGAAAAAATGAGGCACTTATTATACAAGATAATACACAAGGTTGCTGTGGTGTTCTTTTTCTTAAAAATTTTCTTAATAGCTGAGCGAGTATGTATTATATGGTTGATGGACCAAAGAAAGATTTCTCCTGATGTGTTTTCAGGCAACAGTGCTATCACCTGCTATGGTTGATTTGTTTTACTTCAACTGAGTCATTGAGCCACTGACACATTGAAAAGAAAAATTCAATGTCTTTTTGTAGATTGGTATTTTCATTCTTTGCCTGAATTGAACTGACGACGGCGAAACAAAGCAATACTTCATGTAATCTTCAATTTTAAGTTTAAGTAATTTGCTTATTTCAGGCTCATTTGCTTCTTTTTTGATTTTAGGTACAGTTTATTTTTGTGGTTCTAGTTTCAATAAAATGGCGAGTAAAAACAAGTCTGCATTTAGTGTTTACAAAATACATAAAAAGTGCGGTAAAAATGGAAATCTTGACAATGTGGTTGTTGGAGATACATGTGCTGTAAAACAAGCAAATGGTCAAAATAGCCGTATTTCTAGAGCGTCCAAAATCCGGCATAGCATAGGCAAAAGCATAAACAAGTCTAAAAAGAGGAAATTGGACGAAAGTAAAGGTTGCGAAACTATTTCTGATGTAAAACAGAAAAAGATAAAACGGTCTACTGATAGCAGTTCTACTGTTGAAAGTTTATCTAGTGTAACTGAATTACCAAATAAAACTTTTAAATGGCTTATTGATCCTATTACTTCTGATAAATTCTTCAGGTATGATGACTATTGTAGAATTTCTGGTTCTTGTGTGCTCTGAGGTAAATGAGGGGGAGGGTTTATAAAGTAAAAAGATGAATGTGAGACTGGCAGTGGATGAGGGATGTTGTTGAAAATTGATTTTTAGTTTGTGTTCTAAGTAAATGGTGTTCAAATGTATCTTGTTAGTACTTTGTAAAATACACAAAATTAAGATCTTTCATTTCTTCTAGTGGTCTTTGGGAAAAGAAACCTTTGCTACTCAAAAGACATAATGACAATTATTATGATGGAATATTTAGTGTTGGTGATTTGGACCAAATTTTAAGACAGGTAATTCTTTACTTTTCTATATCCTAAATTATTGGTGCACACAAAGAGAAAAAGGGAGAAATAATGTTTTAATTTCATTAAATATTTCTAACGCTGATGCAAGAATAAAGTATTTATAGTTAGTTATCTTTATTGTCAATAATACAAAATGAAACAAATTCCGAAGAGGGACATCTCATTTTCTTGATATTCAAGATATTACAAGAGTTTGAAACAAATGATGGTGTAATATTTCATAAGTCTGATGATGTCTTTGGAATAAAGACGAAATATTACACCATCTTTTGTTTCAAACTCTTGTAATATCTTGAATATCAAGAAAACGAGATGTCCCTCTTTGGAATTTGTTTTATTCTGTATTATTTGAAACTGTCTGCTTGTCCTGGTTATTGTTTATTGCCAATTGCATGTGATTGCTTCGTGGGTGAAAACGAAATCTTTATTTATAGAATAATATACAGTTTTCTGTTAACCTTGATGTGACATCATACAAGAATGGTGAACGAGAAACTCATAACCCCAGCGGTAGAGCACTGCCTCCTATAGTGTGGGATTTTTATCAGGTGAGATGAAAGATCAGTTTGGGAAACCCTTCAGTGGATCTAGGATTAATTTTGATGGGATGACTTTAATCTTGAAGGGATCTGTAGGTTTAAACTTGATGAGATAATTTCAATTTTGATAAGTGGCAACTTGATTGAATGAAATTAATTTTAATTGATAGAATTCATTTGTGAAGGTTTGTGTTGTTGACTCGTAATCCGTGTTTGTTGTTGTTTTTTTTAAGAATGGTTGTTCAGTTCGTTTGCTTAATCCTCAAACATATTCAGAAAAAATTTGGAAGTTAAATGTGACATTGCAAGAATACTTTGGTTCATTTGTGGGAGCAAATGTGTTAGTGCAACAATTTTTTAAATTTTTTTTTAAATTACATTTAATGGTTATCATTGGCTAAAATATATGATATGTCTAGATATCTAACACCACCTGATAGTCAAGGCTTTGCTCCTCATTATGATGATATTGAAGCCTTTGTATTGCAACTGGAAGGCAAGAAACATTGGAGGCTTTACAATCCTTTAAGTGACAGAGAAATACTACCACAATTTTCCAGTGGTAAAAAATAGCTCAATTAAATATATTATCAGTTGCTATTATATATTGTGTGAAATTGTTTCTAAGACTTTCATCAAACAATTTCCTAGACAATTTAAACAGTGAGGATATTGGTGACCCTATTCTTGATGTTATCTTGGAACCAGGAGACCTGCTATATTTTCCTCGAGGTACAATACACCAGGTACAGCTGAAAATTTAATGTTATTGCCTTTCATGGATTATGTGTCAGTCATTTATTGCATAAAAAACGAAATGACTTGGAGTACATTTTCAATTTCTTTTCACATCAGGCAGATACTTTAGGAGGGCCATATTCTCTACATATCACATTGTCAACATACCAAAGAACATGCTGGGGTGATTTTATGGAAAAGGTTGACTAAATTTTGAATTTATCTTGAAACTAAGCCTATACTTCATATCATTGACTAAGTGTTATTGACTTGTAATGTTTTGGGACATGTTGTCAACTGTAGATCATTTTTTTTAGTTGTTGCCAAAGGCTTTGGAGATTGCCATTCAGGAAGATATTGAATTTCGATGTGGGCTTCCATTAAATTATCTTGATTCAATGGGATTTACTAACTCTGAAAGTGTAAGTGTAGTAATTTTGAGTTCCTGGAGTAGTAATGAATGCCAATATGGTTTCACTAGGAATTTATTCTTAGTCTAGTAAAGAGAGAACAGAATTTATTCATCATGTGGAGCAATTGCTCAAGAAATTAGTCTCCTATTTGCCAATTGACAGTGCTGTTGATCAGGTGGATAATTTTGTTTTAAGCTCCTTAGCCTGTGATTAACAACTCTGTAACAGTATGTACTTCTTTCATTGCAATTAGATGGGAATCAATCATATTCATGATAGTTTACCTCCAATGCTCTCTAAAGGTGATGTGAGTAACATCTTTTTACAAGGGATCAATATATAACAAAATATTTGCCGCACTTAATCAACATATGACTAAATTTGATATTGACTATAAAGACTAAATTTGGTTTTGTGCAACAGATGAGAAAGACTGTAGTATTTTCAATGTTGGAGCTCGATGGCAAACTGATCATGTCACTGGTGTTGCTGAATTGGATGAAAATACTAAAATTCGACTTGTTCGTAAAGGTGCTATAAGGTCTGCATCACTTTTATGTTTGTTACTGAAGTTTTGTTGTGGTACTTACTGAAGTTTTGTTGTGGTACTTACTGAAGTTTTGTTGTGGTACTTACTGAAATTTTGTTGTGGTACTTACTGAAGTTGTGGTACTTACTGAAGTTTTGTTGTGGTACTTACTGAAGTTTTGTTGTGGTACTTACTGAAGTTTTGTTGTGGTACTTACTGAAGTTTTGTTGTGGTACTTACTGAAGTTTTGTTGTGGTACTTACTGAAGTTTTGTTGTGGTACTTACTGAAATTTTGTTGTGGTACTTACTGAAATTTTGTTGTGGTACTTACTGAAGTTTTGTTGTTGTACTTACTGAAGTTTTATTGTGGTACTTACTGAAATTTTGTTGTGGTACTTACTGAAGTTTTGTTGTGGTACTTACTGAAATTTTGTTGTGGTACTTACTGAAGTTTTGTTGTGGTACTTACTGAAATTTTGTTGTGGTACTTACTGAAGTTTTGTTGTGGCACTTACTGAAGTTTTGTTGTGGTACTTACTAAAATGATATTATTTTCTCAGGCTTGTTGAAGATGATGAAGGAGTTTCTTTGTATTACAGTTTGGAAAACTCAAGAGTATATCATGAACTAGATCCACAATATACAGAGTTTACTTCCGAAGTACTGAAATAGAAATCACTTATTATATTTTCATATGCAATGTCTTTCATTTACCAAAGTTATGTATTATGAAAGGAACATTGTAATTTTACATGTTTAAGATGCTAATACTCAATCATGTAAACATAACTATGGTATAATTGTTCTCATTCAATTCTAGGGATCACCTGTAATTGAAGAAATAATTAAGAAATTTCCAGAGTATACTTCATGTAAAGAATTGCCTGGAGATGACATGGAATTTAAGGTTTGCTCAAATCATCATGCTATTTGTAATGATAGAATCAAACTGAGCTCAGTGTGAAAACTTTGAATAAGTATATGATCAGTATTGTTATATCTTTACACAACTTTCTTCTATTTCAGATTGATTTACTGACAATGTTGTATGAAAAAGGAATTCTAATCACAAAAGAACCCTTAATACCATCAGAGAATTGTGTAAATGAAACATAATAAGTGAAACATGCATCATTGTCAGGCTTGCAACAAACCATGGAGAAACTAAATCTCGCTGAATTTTGGTAAATGATTCACAAATACATCAATTCATACCAGACCCACATGGAGCAAGAGTGAATTGCATCATAAGAAAGAATCTTTATACTGTTAGTGGATCGAAGGCAGGAATACTGATCCAAACTTCATATTAATATCACTTTCAAATAATAATATCCAATAGAATTTGTCTTTGTCATATCAACTGCCTTTTTGTTCACTTGTTTCCTCTTCTCCATGTTTTTGAGCTCCTACAAATTCTGTGTAGTCAATGTATCCATCCTTATTAGTGTCATCCTCTTCCAGGATTTGATCAACCATGCTTGCTAACTGTTCATCGGAATAGACAGTCGCCTCCTTGTTTGTGGAGTCCTCTTCATGGAAATGAGTCATTGCATTACTAAGTTCAATGCCGTCTAGTTTGTTGTTGTTATCATAATCATGTAGTTTGAAGTAATGAAATTGTAGATCCTCGTCACTCATAGAATCTTCTTTCACATTTGTTACTTCTTTCAAATGTTCTTTTATATGTCTATATAACACAATTGAAGAAAATGAAGAAGACACAGTTCAAATTAATATTATCATCAAAAACAAACGTGGCATTTAATTGCAATCACAGTTGTCAATCCATTCCTTTAAGTTTTCTTATGTGATGTGTCATATTATGTGGAGCCAAATGAATAAGATTTAAGACGTGAGGCAAAAACTCTTGTTGTAAAGACATTCTCCACGCTCATATGAAGTTATCTTTAACTGTTAATTTTGACACAGACAGACTTTCCCACTTGGAACTTTAATAAATATGATAATAAACGTAAAATTACATATTTAACGATTCCTTTGAAAAAAATTGGTCAGCACGATTGCCATTCACAATGAACAACTTACTCCTGATCGTGAACATGTTTTGAATCACGAAGTCTGCTGTGTTCAATGTGTTGATTTCCATGTTCGTGTGATGGATGTCCATCATCGGTCAAAACTCTTGCTACAAATACGACAATTAATAAAAAACCACGAGATAGAGCCATTTTACTTCTTTTGTACTTTGTTGATACCTTATTGTTGCTATAAAGAGCGCCCTGTACAATTTCAACGTGTTACTCTCTGGTTGAAGCAAAGTTCATTTTGGAATTTGTACATCGCAACCAAGTCTCTGACACATTGAGTGACCAAGCTTTTCGATGTCAGTTCAGTTAAGATAAGATCACATGATATTTTATAAGAAGCATGCGCAGAATAATAGCATTCGTGGCAGTAATCATGGTGGTAAACACCTGGTAGGGAATTGTGAATGTTGGCTTTTAATGCTGTTTATCATTTGATCTATGGCTAATTTAACTATAACTGACGACGAATCGGTCTTATCTGATAGTATAAATCTTGATGAAACTGAAGACGTGTACAAAAAGTGTTTCACTTTGCAGGAGTATTATAAACAATGTCTCGGTTTCTATCACAAAGGTACATTTCAATAATTCCAAAGCATGCTGTTTATAGGAATGTCTTTGCTATTTATGAATGAAGCTAGCGATGAAATAGTTAAAAAATAATTAATTTTAATCAGCTTTTATGCTTTGCCTATTGAGTGTGGTATATTTTGTAATGTGTCCCATATGATAAGGTTGTCGTCCCTGCCAATTGTACAATGTCTATATTTTTTCTAATTAATTATTAAGGAAGCAATTCCTTAAATATTAGGGAATTTACTATGTAATATTTCATTGTAATAAAATCATTGTTATGTTTTCATGTAAGTCCTTATACACTCAGTAGCCTGCTACTACCACTTTGTTTACCACCAAAATATATTCTCTATAGGGAAAAATGTTATAAAAATGACTTACCAAGACAAAATGAGGTTGACAGCACTTTGGAAGCAGGCATCTGTGGGGAAATATGACACATCGAAAATTCCAGAAATTGGTTACTTTGATGTCATTGGCAATGATAGGAGGTATGTGGTTATGTCCACGCAACTGGAGCAACAAGTTTTTATGTCATCAATAAATTATTGGAATTTTTAATGGTTAGCCAAGTGGTTAGCATTTGGGCAGAGTTCATTACATATTCAAAAAGCAACAGTCTTTATTACTATTGGAAATCATCAAGCGTTTTATACAATAACTTTATTGGGTTACAACATTTAGATCAACTGTTATGTTTCATAGAACTTGATAATGCGTTGTGCCTGAGTAGATAGATTGATTTATTGGCACACACTTTTTAACAATATAAGAGGAGTAACTGTGAAAATTTATCAATTATAGTTCTTACCAAGAATAGTGTGTTTAGTCGCACTTGTATTCTTTGATTGTAAAAGTAAACCAAGGCTATCCTTAACTCTTGCCATTGCAATGTTAGGTTAGCTTGGGAAGGACTTGGTGATATGCCTAAAGTGAAGGCTATGGAGGAATTTTGCAGCTTGATAGAAAAGGTTGCACCAGAACTGGAAGCACATCTGGAAGCACAGTGTAGAGAAATTGAAGAGAAGAGACGTAAGAAGCTTGAAGAAGAAAGGCGACAACGTGAGGAAGAAGAACGCAAACGCAGGGAAGAGGAAGAAAGGCTAGAAAAAGAAAGATTGTTGAAGATTGAGGAAGAAAAACGATTAGAGGAAGCTGCTAAAGAAGAAGAAAGGTTAAATTTGTTTATGTTTCCTCTATAATGTTTCATACTGTTCATTTGTTTTTAATGTAAATCTGCATGATCCTTTAATGTTCAAGTCATATGTATTAGAACATTGTGTTATTTAATTCTTGTTCTTCAAATTACTTTAATGCTTTGATTTAGGAAAAAGGAAGAAGCTTTGAAAGCTGAACGTGAAAAAACTCAATTGATGCAAGTCAAACCTCAGGTAATGCATTAAAAATCTTCAAATCAATCTACCCTAACTCAATTAGTGTTATTGTAATGTCATGTTTTCTTAGTGTAATGTATATTGCAGATGAATGGTTCACCATCAATTGCACCAGCATCATTGTGGTCACGTCCTAAGGTTCATGAGTTTATCCAACATGTTCGGACTGATCCTGCTTCTATGTTAGTTGTTGGTCGAGGTGAAACCATTACAGTACGAGTACCAACACATGAAAATGGTAAGTGTTTACAATAACAATATTAACTATATTAATGATTTTTGTTTGAATGTATAATCTGTGGAATAGGGTAGATTTTACCTATTGTCTATCCTTTTAATATTTCCCCTTGTCCAATTTCCACTTTTACCTCAGTCTGTGAGTGACTTGATGTTATCTGTCCACCCAACAAGTTTCATCTCAAAAACAGAAACTAAGTTAAATCTTTTGTAAATTGCCGTGATTTTGGTTAGTCATGTTTGTTTATTGCATGATCAGGTACATGTTTGTTTATTACATGATCAGCTACATGTTTGTTTATTGCATGATCAGGTACATGTTTGTTTATTGCATGATCAGGTACATGTTTGTTTATTGCATGATCAGGTACATGTTTGTTTGTTGCATGATCAGCTACATGTTTGTTTGTTGCATGATCAGCTACATGTTTGTTTGTTGCATGATCAGCTACATGTTTGTTTGTTACATGATCAGGTACATGTTTGTTTGTTGCATGATCAGGTACATGTTTGTTTATTGCATGATCAGATGCATGTTTGTTTGTTGCATGATCAGCTACATGTTTGTTTGTTACATGATCAGGTACATGTTTGTTTGTTGCATGATCAGATGCATGTTTGTTTGTTGCATGATCAGCTACATGTTTGTTTGTTACATGATCAGGTACATGTTTGTTTGTTACATGATCAGGTACATGTTTGTTTGTTGCATGATCAGGTACATGTTTGTTTGTTGCATGATCAGGTACATGTTTGTTTGTTGCATGATCAGGTACATGTTTGTTTGTTACATGATCAGGTACATGTTTGTTTGTTGCATGATCAGCTACATGTTTGTTTGTTACATGATCAGCTACATGTTTGTTTATTGCATGATCAGATGCATGTTTGTTTGTTGCATGATCAGCTACATGTTTGTTTGTTCCATGATCAGCTACATGTTTGTTTGTTGCATGATCAGATGCATGTTTGTTTGTTGCATGATCAGCTACATGTTTGTTTGTTACATGATCAGCTACATGTTTGTTTGTTACATGATCAGGTACATGTTTGTTTATTGCATGATCAGGTACATGTTTGTTTATTGCATGATCAGCTACATGTTTGTTTGTTGCATGATCAGCTACATGTTTGTTTGTTGCATGATCAGCTACATGTTTGTTTATTGCATGATCAGCTACATGTTTGTTTGTTGCATGATCAGCTACATGTTTGTTTGCATGATCAGCTACATGTTTGTTTATTGCATGATCAGCTACATGTTTGTTTGTTGCATGATCAGCTACATGTTTGTTTGTTACATGATCAGCTACATGTTTGTTTATTGCATGATCAGCTACATGTTTGTTTGTTACATGATCAGCTACATGTTTGTTTGTTACATGATCAGCTACATGTTTGTTTGTTGCATGATCAGCTACATGTTTGTTTGTTACATGATCAGCTACATGTTTGTTTGTTGCATGATCAGGTACATGTTTGTTTGTTACATGATCTACATGTTTGTTTGTTGCATGATCAGCTACATGTTTGTTTGTTGCATGATCAGCTACATGTTTGTTTGTTGCATGATCAGCTACATGTTTGTTTGTTACATGATCAGCTACATGTTTGTTTGTTATGATCAGCTACATGTTTGTTTGTTACATGATCAGCTACATGTTTGTTTATTGCATGATCAGCTACATGTTTGTTTATTGCATGATCAGCTACATGTTTGTTTATTGCATGATCAGGTACATGTTTGTTTGTTACATGATCAGCTACATGTTTGTTTGTTGCATGATCAGCTACATGTTTGTTTGTTGATCAGGTACATGTTTGTTTGTTATGATCAGGTACATGTTTGTTTGTTACATGATCAGCTACATGTTTGTTTGTTACATGATCACATGTTTGTTTGTTGCATGATCAGCTACATGTTCGTTTGTTACATGATCAGCTACATGTTTGTTTGTTACATGATCAGCTACATGTTTGTTTGTTGCATGATCAGGTACATGTTTGTTTATTGCATGATCAGGTACATGTTTGTTTGTTCCATGATCAGCTACATGTTTGTTTGTTGCATGATCAGGTACATGTTTGTTTGTTGCATGATAAGGTACATGTTTGTTTATTGCATGATCAGGTACATGTTTGTTTGTTACATGATCAGGTACATGTTTGTTTGTTGCATGATCAGGTACATGTTTGTTTATTGCATGATCAGGTACATGTTTGTTTGTTGCATGATCAGCTACATGTTTGTTTGTTACATGATCAGCTACATGTTTGTTTGTTCCATGATCAGGTACATGTTTGTTTTGGGAGTTTGCAACTGAATCTTACGATCTTGGTTTTGGTGTAAGTTTTGAATGGACATTACCATCCTCTGAGGCAGTTGTTATCAAACATGATGACGAGGAGACTGGAGAGAATAAAGATAGCGAAAAGTCAAAACTTAGAGTTGATGAAATTCTTCCATCCTTAAGACGTCCTTGCAGTGATGAAGTTATGGTTGGCAGTCATATATATCCTGGACGTGGAGTCTATCTCCTTAAATTTGACAATTCATACTCTTTACTTCGATCCAAGACATTATTTTACAGAGTATATTATACAAGATAAGTCAGTCAATGACTGGAAATCTATAATTGAGATTTTGAAAAAACTGAAACCATTCTAATTAAAGAATTGAGCCTGTGGCAATCTTATGCAGGCAGCTACAATACTCAGGATGGAATTTCTAACAATGTTCTTTCTACTAGTATTTTCATCAATTTACTTATATCATTAAGGAGTAATTATAATGTAGACAATAAACATTTGCAACATACTTTAAACTGTAAAACTTCTGTTTGTTCTAACTTTAAAGTGTGTGATGAGTTTGATGAATAAGTGATTACATGATCAACCCTGGATGACTTTTATGGAGTTTGTACCGATTGTATTTTTAAAATTTTCTTTTGCTTACATTTGTGTATGTAGGAGAAAAGACACTATAATTTGTTGTCCGGAGTTGATTGGATTACCAGAGTCTGGACCATTACCTGAAATGAATTCTTCCTTTTGATTCTTTATTATAAATATCTTGAGCCTGTGAAATCTGCTGACCTGAGGTTGCTTTAGTTATGACATGCGTAAAACACCTTTCTTGTTCAATTATTTCAAATTTCAAGGCGCGTTTTTTGAAATGGCACTCATTCTGCTTTAAATATGTATTTGTAAATTTTTCTGGGTTTCAAGTTTTGTTGAACGATAGCTATGTGAATTAATAAAAAGTAAGTGAATATTTTTTATTGTTTTGTCATAAAAGTAGCCAATTCAGACAAAATAATTAAACTTTATCGGTTTGCTTCTCGTGTGTTCATATCAAAATATTCGTCTTTCTTTAGGTTACTGCTATAGTTGGTACAGCGGAGGGAAATGTTAAAGAATATTTTCTGCAAAAAAGTAAGGAGCAAAAATCTAACAATCTTTGAAAGTTTGTGTAATTGTGCGTGACAAAAGAGGGAGGAGGGAGGTTGGTTTTTGCTAAGAGAAGTTAGACGAGAGTTATGTATAGAATTTCAAGATAACTACACATAAATGCGTTGTCATGGCAAGAACTTCCTTTATGCTTCAAAACAATTTCCATATTTAAGCAGATTTTTGGCTTAAAAGGGTCATTAAAAGATTTTCTAAATTTTAACAAGCAAATTGTATTGCTATTGGCTCTTTATGTTTGTTAAATGTCGGGATAAAGATATAAATTAAGGTGTAAATAAGACTGTAAATTCATTTTGATGTTGGCCAAAATATCAAACTGAATCTCAATCTATTTATTTCCTTGCAAGCTTCTGACAACAATGAGTTGTTGTCAGGTTGTATACAGTTATATTTATAGCATTGTTGGCTGGATAATGAGTATGTTATTCACAAGATTAATCAAAATTTAATGATAAGAGCGAGAATTCCGAGAGAATACAAATTTTTATCGATATAATTAAACTATCATACAAAGTAAGATCGTACTTTGGATTTCATGAAGTGGCGGTCATGATTATTATAATTGTTTAAACTGTTTCCTTGAGATATATGAGCTCCCTTGTGGGAAAATTGGCTTGGCTGCTTTGTTGAACAATGTTTGAAAAATTGTTTTGCTATGATTATCTCAACAATAGAGTTTCCGTCAACATACACTTGTTTGGCTTGTCATGCATGCAAATCTTGAAGGTGCGAGGGTTTATACGCATAACTGTGGGGACGGTTTGAGTGCAGTCACTAAAAGTTAGAAATAGTGGGGTGAGGGTTGGTGTTTTCAGGGAAAATATAATTCGGAATGTTTATAATTGATTGAATTACGAGTTTTATAAATATGTTTACGTTAGCGTAAGATATAAAATTTTTCTCTGTTTACATTCGCGATATACCATCTTGCATTGAAATTTGTATGTTTTCTTTGAAACGCGACATTCAAGAAATGCGAACATTTGTTACTGAAATAGCACATTTGATGAGCATGTATGGTGATTGATGGTGAAATTCCATATGTCATCGCATTACGTCTATATGGTTATATGTTTATTTATGCTCATCGTTCACTCATTTTTCATTCTTGCCATGCAAATCAGCAAAGCTACCATCAAGAATGTTCTTGAATGTGCACGTGCTTGCTAGAACCAAATGAGAAATGTTGTGATTTATTAGTGTTGCGGTTAAAAACTCTTTATCACAACTCTTTTATAAATATAATATCATAAGTATCAATGTCTTCCATTACGGACATATGGGATAGCTTCGTAAGCGTTTGACGCCTCGCAGCATGGCGTCAACAATAATATTGAACTTTCATCTTATGAAGAAGGTGTTTGTGATAACATTAACGATGTGCGTCATTTCCTGGCCACATATTGCGATTTGCGCGTGTTTAACAAAGCTCTTTTCGATTGTGTTTTTGTGCTGGTTGACGTTGTTAGAAGCAAAATCAGCATGACTTTGCTGTCAGTTTATCGTTTACAGCATTAAACTTCGAATGTTGTCGATTAAAAATTCAGAATAAATGGATGCTTTTCCAACGCTCGTCATGTCTGCAAATCGTCAATTTATCATACGTGATATACACTGCGACAAATTCGAGGTATTTCCTGATGTCTGGTACTCGGGTCATAAGTTCCCTTGCCCTTGGATTGTCTGAATTGCTTATCGACTTTGATGTATTTTAGCTACGTTGCTGTTGTTGTTCATGTATAGTGCTACTATTCTTAACTCTTCTTTTGGATGCTTGACAAACTGTTCTAAAAGATCTCTTTAAATCAAATCATTTAATCCGTAAATCATGTTGTAAATTAACCGTCATTCAATACGTCATGTTAATGTATGGAAAATATTTGTCATTGTAATGTGTCGACTTTATCCGTATCTATCAATTAGCGTGGTTGGATTGTTTACGAGTTACGAGTGAAACGTTTAATGTTCTCTTGGTACTCATTGTGGTCTAGAAGATCTGAAGTATCTAAGGTCTCTATCCAGCCACCTAGCTTGGTAGTTTTCCCCTCTCGTTGATTTAAATATTTTTGTTCTGTGTTGTATCACAATTTTACAATTGCAAAATGATAACCTTGTTTAATGCAATACGGAATAAAAAATGGCAAACATGATACAGACTTTAGTAAAGGCTTCTTTTCCATGATCTGCTAACTTCAAAGTATATATAAATGGGGGTAGAATATAGTCATATTCACTGGTGTTGTTGATTAGAAAAAATATTTGAGTCTTTAGGCAAGGGGGAAAATCATCTGACTTAATACGCAGTTATTATTTTCTCGGATTCTCTTTCAAGAGTCGATAACACGGCGACGATTTATCACAAAACAAACTATTTCAAAGTTTGACCGCTGCTTTCTGACCCACGCTTTCTCTGTCGGCTGTGTTGTCTTTCCTAATTATGAATTCCTAACTAGGCAGCATATGTTGTTTTTTCAATGGTTTAAGTAACTTTCATTTGAAGCAGGGAAGGTTTTTGATTTTGTTATTTTTGGCCTCAACCTTTCAAGTCGAATTGCGAAATAACTTCAACATTGAAATATTCCGTAGCATTTAGTATTTCCTCTCTTTGTAAGAGGTAGCAGCCTATTCTTCATCGTTTTATGTTGCCTTACATTTGGTTTTGTTGAATTGTTATGTTTATTTTCAAAACTGAACGCAATGGAACACCTGTAGTGAAAGCGTTTCCTTCTATGGAGCAATAGATAATGACCTGCTGGTTGTGTCGCGTTCAAAATTTTAGCTTTTATTAAATTTTCTCACAACAAATGACAATACAGTGTACGACGAACATTAGTACTACATGCTGTTGAGTACGGATTAAATTATTATATGTTTTGGCACGAACGTTTTCACGTGTTGTCAACAAGTGGAGTTCGTTTCATATCTGTCTTCATTTTGCAATACTCGTTTTTATTTTCCCTCGTTTTGTTGGAAATATGAAACCATCGAATAGTTTACGTTCGGTCTTTTCAAAGCAGTTTCTATTAAGGAAATTAAACTTATCGCTACAGGGCGTATGAAGATTGTCAATCAACAGGTTCACGGCTCATGCTGAGTACTAAAATTCCTGCTTAAGAACAAACATATACAACACACGATAGAACTTTTAGCATGTTTTCAGGGTAAAACATGAATTCTTTCCTATACGTTGTAAATAAAATCGTTAATGCTATGTCGTTGTTGATTGTAAGTCACGTTTGAGTGTTTAAGTGGTGACTTTCATGGTACACAGTTAAAATGTTTATTTTGTTTTCAATGTGTGACACGGTATCTCTTATCTACCGGTTCATGAACATAAAACAACGAAACTTGAAAGCTATGTCTACACTGAAGTTTTTTCGAAACTGACGTCACTGACGCTCGGAATTGCCTCTGGTACACATGTACACGTCATAGTGAGCAAGATGTGTATATTCAAGTGAGGCTGTGTGATGTATGTTAGAACATGAGGCTTGTTGAAATTTTCAATGCAATAAAATTCCATTTTCTTCCAAAAAATTGTAGCGTTTATTATGTCGTGGTGTTGGATGGGATGGCTGACAATGATGACTTTGCATCGTGAGTGGGCAACCACATGACAAAAGACTTCTTCATTTCCGGTTTCAATTTTGTTACTAAAGGATATGATACGGGGGTGCGCAAACCTTAGAGAAAAATATCCCTCCGCACTTCTCGTTAACAATGGAAGTTGAGGTTTGGTGAAGGAACGTGGACATGAAGTACACTTCTGTGTTCTGGAATAGTCTATTAGATTAGGCTGATTGCCAATTTTTAAAGATTGGCTGTCATATTCATTAGGTAATGAGCAAGTCGAAGAAGGTGAAGATGTTGACAATAGCATTGCGAAAGCGAAATCAGAGCTGCATTTTATCGCTTAGAAAGGACTCTTTAAATCATGCAATGTACAATTATGCAATTTACTAAGTTGGGAAATACCCAAAATGTATGAAATAACTTAAACTATTTTTCTTAACTTGGGTCTTATCATAAACGAAGGCATAATTGCAGTTGGAAATAGAACAAAATCCTTCTTTAAATTTCAACATAATTTGTCATTATAGTCGCCACATTTTCTATTCTTTTCAAATGATTGTGTAAATGATGCGAACCGTTTTCCTGTTGATGTGCAGCTATCAGTTGGGGGTATAGATTTCCATCAAAATTACTTCTTTCACACAAAGCGATACAAAGTTCTGCTTCATCAAAGTGGAATGGTGATAAAGTCTTTAAAACGATGATAGCGTTCTTGGCATTGCAAAAGCCATAGAAATCATGATAAGACGAAAGCAAAGCTATTTACGTGCGTCTATCTCAGCCAACTGTCACGAACGGATTCTCGTGTTTCTAACACATATGGGATTAATCTGTACAAAAATTGTCGTCAACGTTTTTATGTTGCGTAAATATTACTTTATACTGTGTGCAAACATCAGGATCCTTCAAATTCAATACGCGCACATTGCGTTCATGCTATCGTTTTTCTTTAAGTATGCATGTGCACGCAACAATAAAGTTAGACTACCAAAATCTTGTGAATTTATGAACGTGCTCTGATTAAGATGATACCTCTTCTGTTGTGAAGGAACAAATTATAGTAAAAATGCAATTTATGTTACTAATTTATGTGTTATCATTATGTGCTTGGTGTATGATGTTATTGTAGTATTTCAAAAAATAGAAATTCGGTATTGTTATTCACACCGAGATTAAGTTTAATAAAACATGGGAAGCAGCAATTGGTAATAAAGCTTAAAGCAAATAAACAGTTGACTGAAAGTTGATGTCGTTAATTCACCCCTATTGTACAAACTATCATGTCAAAACTCACTATGATACCAACCCAACTGTTGAGTATTTTTTCCTGTTCATGAGTTCCAATTTGTGCCTTTAATGGAGATGGTTCATCGAAATTTAACGAATTTTCCTAGTCCATGCACGTTTGATGATATGCTTTTCTCAGTTTATAGTTTCAATGTTACAAATTCCTAAGTAATAAGGTACGATAGTGGACAAATGATGAATAAAACTATTGCACTTTTTCATAATGATTTGACTTCGATTTAAAACATACATTGCTTCAACGCATCAGTTCTTACACTTATACGAGGTAATTTTAAACGTTTTCCTTTCTGTCTAATCTTCTTAACGGAGTTTTTAATTATGAAAACGGATCCAATATTGCTGACATGAAACAAAACACTGTTTTTGTCGAGATAATTCTTTGGCATTTTTCTGCTCAATATATGATCATTTAATTACATAATATAGATGATAAATTACCGGCGCATTAAATTACCTCCATGGTAAAAAAGCAACCATTTCAACTTATCAACGATCTGTTTCTAAATTAAGATTTGGAAAATGGAATTTTTTTGACATGTGACTGGATTCTGCTTCATAATTTTATGTACATAAGACCATAAGCATAAGCATACGCTTATAAGTAATACATAAATGATAGTCGTAAAAGGCTAGTCTTATAATATTTATGCACAATAACTTCAGTTTTTAGAGCCGTTTCATTCTTTATTTGTAGCATTGTTATGGTTTATAATAAAAGAATGTACAAATCCTTTAAACGCTCACCTACTGTAAGATTCGTACGAAGACATTTGTTGGGGCATATTTTACGAGCTTTGCCAAAGAAATGTTTAAGTTAACGTACTTCAAAATTCTTTGTTATCTTAATGAAATCTCATTTGGGAAAACGCCAGATTGTCTGACCAATGCTTCATCATACTCCTGCCCGTTCTAGTTTTCAGTGATGGATCATTATGCTGCTGTTATTCCCTACATAATTCTGGGTTGTGAGATAAAATAACCAGATTGCATGTGTCAAGAAAAATAAATGTACGATGAAAGTTCTTGCTTTGCATAATTTGGAGCGTCGTTCCGCTGCGTGGAAAGTGCTTTGTGAGAACAAAGATTCACAGTCATTTCCCTGTATTGCGATATTAGTGCCATCAGACGCAGGGCGACCTCGTAAACACAAATTGGAACTCAACGGCTTTATTAAAATCTTTTCCGTGTTAGTGAATATTTTTGCCGCGTCATCATTTTGGTTGATCAAATTTTATTCATCGCTGCAGGGAAAGGAAACCGCATGGCAAAACGACGTCATTGCATTGTAATAATACGAGTGAATATGCCTACATTTCAGCAAATGTTGCAAATTAACCTATAAACAACGTTCCTAATCCTTTAAAGGAATTTAAAGAGAAGAATTTTGATACATTTAATCATTGCAAAGTAATCATTTGTGGGGCCATGTTAAATGTTATTTGAAATAGCAAATATATGAAACGATTGAGATTTCATTTATGTAGATAAATGATGGCGTGTAGTATAGTACATTCATTTAAATTCAAAATTGTGAAAATCATGGGAAGCCAAAGAAAATTAAGCAATCTGTTCAATTCAAAGTTTAATAAACGCCGGAAATGACTTATTTTACTGCTCTCTAATGCGATTTTTAAAGTAATTAAACATCGCAATTTTCATGTACATTTTTCATAAAGCCGCAACTTCGTGATTGTGTAGATTTTGTCAAGAACAACTCTTCTTCCAACTTGTCTTTAAAATTGAGCTTTTGCAGATGTAGTGTTTATACTCATTCATCATCTATGACATTTGAACCGCATGTTCAAGTACAACTCAAATTTTGCCAAAATGAAAATTTACACCTTCGAAGAGATTAATGTTACATCAAACTTTCGCTTTTGTGCTTTTACTGCAAATTGCAATGAAAACTCTTATGAAACTACACACAGAATTGTTTTGAATTTTTTATTATCATCAACCCTTACATTCTCGTACCAAACTCGGAAATATTTTAAATTAATCACTTGGTAGTTTTCCAAATGTAACATTTAATCTCAATAATATTAACGGAACAGCTTATTTAATAATATACAAATATATATATAATATATTAAAATTATTTATCTACTTCTACAGGACATCTGAATTTAGCTTAATATGACAAAATAATGTTATAACTTTCGCATCCATCTTAATAAATAATATAAATATTGGTCATTGGTTCAAGTCCTTTTACGGAAATTTATGTGCAGTCTATACAACAATTTAACTCGTGTGCTTTTAACTTAAGGTCGTGTTGGCGAGGCATATTCACAGTTAATAATATTACTATACAATTAATAACCAAAAGATATAAAATTTCAACTCTAAGTATAATCATCAACGAGAAATTTAGAAATGAAAATAATGGTGTTTCACACCGTAGTATCCACCGACAGACTCCATGGCATTGCTGTGATTCTGATAAATTACCTACAAAACGAACATATGCGTGTAAATCTTTTTAACTCCTACATAATTTGGGTTAAAAAAAGAATCATCGCATAGCCCACAAGGTCTGACGGGGTTTTTCTTAAATAGAACGCGATTAATTTGCAACTCCTGTTCATTAATATTAAAAATGCGTAAATCTCTGCTCAACGCTACTGCTGTGTATCGCAAATATCATGGATAAATTAGAACAACTTGACAAATTCTGTGGTCAGTTCAAATACAATCGAAAAAACGAGAAAGCGCTGGCCTGTATTTGGGGAACAACGAAGGAGGTAAAACGACGTTGAACTTTCCCACAATAAAATGGACGAAGACTCTTAAAATTGCGATGCTATGTTATTAAAGACGGGCAAACGTCGAAGACTACTCCAATCTTGATCAAAACCATCCGAATTAGGAGAACCAGTTGAGAATTCATCGCTTAACGACGAATCGGTAAATACATCAGATGCATGCTTTGTCAGATGTTTTACTGCGTCAACATTGAAGGAACGTATTTCAATTGGGTTGGATGGCCCGCTGCGCATTGGAAATGTGCAAAGATTGTTACTCACATTTGGAAGTGGTGAATTTGAAATTACTTGAGCAGGCGAAGGGCTTCCCAACGGACTCTCATCAAGAAAAGGAGTCGAAGGAGAAAGCGACAATGGAGATTCAAACACTGGAGATGGAGGGCTCCCGGTAGATATGGGAGAAAGTGGCGTCGTTAAACTTTGACTTCGCTCCAAAGGAATACGTTTCTCGTCCGCGTTGTGAATAAAATGACATCGTGGACCGTATGGACAAAAGCCAATAGTGTGAAATGTTCTGCAAAGTTCCGTTTTGTATTTTGGATGCCTTGTGAGCTGGCGGAGTTCGTGGTAGCCATGCGCAAACTGGCATTTATCGCCATATTTACATGTACCGTTCTCTTCATAGGGCCTGCACAACTCTGTTTTATAACGACTTGAGTTAGTGATGCTACCCCTACGTCTTTCTTCTTCAGCAGAACTAATGGCACTAAGAGCGCGATCTCTGGATGGTCTGCTTACTAGCATTGGATCACTGAGTGTAATAAGGTTTGTTGGCGTTTGTCTAGCCCCGTTTGTTGAATGTCTTCGTGGTAGCGAACCAACAATTCGTTTGTCCCCTCGTGCTTTTAATTCGAGGGACATGAGCTTACTCTACAGTGAATTGTAGATGAATAAATCACTTTAACGAGTTGCATCTTTTTAGATAGGTACATAAACGATCTATAATGTCTTTTTAAAACAAAAGCAACGATCACAACATTCTCTCACTCACGCAATCCCCACATTCATGAAATTTATGTAACAAACATAAAACATTTTTATTCGTTATATACCTTTAACAGAACATCGTCCATTTCATAAAAAGCCGATACCAGCGTTGCCGACATGCCGTAAAAATAATGCTTGTATAACGTGAACTATCAAAGGTTATTTTGCTTTTATTACTCCTTTGGGAGAATCCCGTAAACACGACTGCCTGCTCCTTTGCTGTTGACTTTCTACATCTCCGTGATTTTATATAAATGATATGACGATTGTGGGTGGTGCGTCATGGTGTCACGTGATAATTTGAGATAGGAAACGGAAGTAGAAATTGGCGTAAGAGCCCATTAGTAGGCGCAAGTTGGGAAAGAATGGGAAAAGCGAAAGATCTTTAAATCTGTAAATCTGTATTGACATACTTCCATGCTTACTACACGTCTTCATATCTTAAATGAATTTTGGGTGTCACTTTTATCGTCATTTTAATTGGTAAACGGTCCATCTATTTAAAGTATCTTATGATGAATTACGTCAAAAGGCTTGGCATATTGTATTACCAAGTAGGGTATTCCTAATATGGAATGTTTGGCAATACTAAAATCAAACTACGATTTGAATATGTTAGAGTACATAATGGATAGCAACGAAATGATCATATTTGTCTATTTGATATCTTTCTGTAACGTTGTACGCAGTATTACAACATTTGCATTTGTCTAATTTTTTTCCTATAGCAATCTAACAAAAATAGACAAAAGTTCCTGTTGGTTCGGCCATAAATGTGTCACAGTGCTCATATTGCTTATTCCATTATTGTCTTGAAGTGAAACAGTGTGAAAGAGTTTTGTTGTTTCTGTCATGAGCCAAAAGCAGTATGATTGTTTAAGTTAATTATGCCCTCGAATGCCAAGACTACCTATGTTGAATGGTTTTGCTGATCTGTTGTTTGAAAATAGCATCAAGCAGAGAATGACAGACAAAGCATAAAAATAATGAGATAACATAGGATGAGTGTTGTGTTCGCGTCCTTGCCAAGTGCTTTTGTTCATTGAAAGGATAACAATTCAAATGGTATTCAAAAGTTTAAAATTGACGAATTCAAGGGAAAAGTGCAACATTGAATCAGCTCGATCAGCATTTTAATTTTCGCAATTACGGATTTTGTGAATGGCCTAAAAAATCCGAGTGACCTTCCATGCGCCATGTATAATTTTTTCCGAGCTGCCATTGTTCGCATGTGGATCTTTAACATTGAAATGAAATTATCATCTGAACATACTTTCTTGTTGTTAAAGTCTTAAATTAGTGTGACAACAAAATGTGAAAGAAAATTACCAGCATAATCATAGCATTGATACCTATGGTATGGAATGTCCATTACTACATCATTTATTTTGGAATGAAATATGTTTTGGTAATAAGCTCCATGAGTCATGAATATATTCCATATATTCTGAAGCATATACTCAAAGTTTGATCTAGATATAAATGAATTCTTCACTTCATTGTGTGAACAGGAATACGAGATTGTTGCATGTGCATCGAGGCAACGGAGCACACCGAGAAACGATTATCATTGTACTTATCAGTTTCATGTATTCTTGCTAGCGCTATTCTTTCGTGGAATTTTTTTCAACTGGATGGTTATTGGTGAAAAGTTAAGCATAAAAATGTTACCTGTACCAAGAACTGTTTTTCTGTTTACACCACAAAAATCTAACATGTTTTGCTTGTCGGGTTTTTCAAGTATCATCACTATTCAGCTTTTCCGTTTCCTCTTCTCAGGTGAACAATTGCTGACTCTTAATCATTGAAATAATTCGTTCCTCGTATGCCCCCAACGGTGTTGCAAGTTTGTCTCGACACAAAAGAAAGCAACATAAGCTTTTTCTCTTCATGGAAACCAATGTCCATTTGTCAGTTGTTTTATTGCCTTCCCATGGTCTTTTTATTTGTTTGCTTTTCTTGCAAACCGAGCTTTCTCATGCCTATTTCAATAGCATTTTTCCTGGCAAGGTTGAACATTGCAAATTAAGTTTTATGCTAACAGTTCTACATGAATAAGGCTTTGCACTCTTCTCGAAGCCGTTTTAATTAGATTTATCAAACTTGTGCAATATGTTCGTTTTTTTATTGTAACATTGAAGACTTCCCTAAGATTAAGTTCGATTCAAATATTCATGGCTATCTTCCTGTTGGACCACAGAAAATATGAATGACGTTTGCTAGCGTCATTTAAATCGTAGTTCTTAGTATTACACTTAACTTAACGAATCAGTCGAATGTTCCGAATGGAAAACCCAATCGTGGAAGACATAGCGTCCACGTTCTATTTTTAAAAATGAGTTTCGTATCTTTTGACACGAAAACCATTATAATACAATGTTCCAATATCGGCATCACGAGATTTTTTACTTGAATAAATTATGCATATTGTGTTCTCACCTATTATTTTTGGATTTCCGTTGAAAAATCGACGGTAAAAAAGGCACTACTGGGTACTGGGTAACACCATGGCTAACACACCAAAAGTGAGTAGGGGCTTTCCAGGCTTTACGGACAGTTTCTGACAATGTAAATGCAGAAAATGATGTCATATCTTCGAATCACTCCTCGGGTTGGGATCGGGTACGGTCTTGTTCGATCCTTTCCGAAAAATGAAAGTGTGCGCCATCGCTATTTTTAGCCAGCAAACATGTTGTAAACTAAAAGTCAATATGAAATATTTCTGCATTTAGCAGAATTTTTGCGTTGCGTTTGGTATTTTTTTTGAATGTTATTTTTATAAAAGTAGTTTGATTTGCGTCACAGAATAATATGTATGATGATTAAAAACTCTGGCGATATCGACTTATCAGAAGCTTTATCTGGGAGTAGAATGTGTTTCGGAAATAAAGGTTTGCGTTTGTTGAGTATGCGAACTAGTAGATCAGAGATCTTGGCTAGTGATGGATTTCGCAAGATTGAACCGAAACCAACGTGTTTGGTTAAATCATATGAACATGACTGTCATACTTCTAAGGGAAAAAATGCTTCAAGGTAAAACTATAAAATTGCTTCAAAAAATGGGGGTAAATCAAGGTCAAAATATTCATCAGTCTCCACTGAGCCTAAATGCAGTACAAAGATGAGTTGATGTAAACCACTAAAAAATTGTCAGGTCAACCAAATGCTGATTATTGTTGATTAGCAAAATCAAGATCAAATTAAAAATCCTTTGTGTTTAACAACTCAATTTTACAATAAGAGATTTAAAGTTTTCTAAATGATTGGTCATCTTAAACCATCCTTTTACCATTTATGCTAGTTTATTAATTCGTGAGTGAGATTAGTTGAGAATTGGCACAAGCTAAAATTTGGCATTTTAAATTTACCATTTCAAGATTGTTAGAGTCTAGGTCCACTCGAAGAGGAGTGCGTATATGTCCGACTTGTAAGAATCGTGTGGGTTATCGCTCAAAAATCTGTAAACATTGTTTGGCTAATGCTGGTGGACATAATAGGACCAAATGTGTACGTAAGAATTCACGAAAGAAGTACATGCAAGAGTTGAGTACATTTGATAAAAATACAGATTCAAAGATAATCGTTGGAAATGATAATTCTGAAAATTCTGTGGGAGATTCAAAGAGACTTGGTAGTAATTCAAATACATTTACTGTAAAGAAAACTAGTTTTCTTACTTGTGACAGACTATGTACACCAAAGAATAATAATATTGATGAAAACAAAGTTGACAAAAAGATTGTTGCATTTGAATCATTGAATCCAGTAAAAAATACTGTGAACAATGTTCTAGATGAAGCATTATCAGAAGAGTATTTACCTCCTATTCCTTTTGATGGAAGTGATGTAGATAATATTAATGAATTGAAGCCATCTACTGATGATGTTATATTGGCAAAGGGAAATGCAGTCCAAGTTAGTTGTGTGTCTTTGAATATACCACAAAATAACTTTAGTGATGACTTGTTTGCAACATCTCATGATGATGTCATAAATAGAGAAGTGTGGTGAACTTGCAACATTATAATGATGTTTCACAGTCAAAAAGTCAAATTACAACACAAGGAGATGATTATGTTTTTGAAAAACATTCATTATCTGTAGTTGGACTAAATCATGATAAAATTGGATTCTCTCTAACACAACGTCAAAACATTGGTGGCATTGACACCTCTGAAACTGTCAGAAATGTGTTCACAAAGAGCATTATTGAAACTGCAGCTTGTTTGACAAGACCTTTTGGAAAAGATGAAAGTAATGTTTTGGGTGAAGCTGATGAGAATGAAAAGACAAGAATGCAATTCAGCAATTGCAATGGACGAAAGAAAGCCAATGTGTTCTTGATACAGTTTTTAAGAATTGAACCAAAGCCTTATTCAGATTTATCTCCTTCATCACATAAAGACAACGAGCAAAGCAAAATCAAGGAAAATAAGTAGGTGGCTCATTTTTTAATTACTTATCTTCCTTACTAATACATTTAGACATTTCTTTTGTTGTCAACTTATTAATAATAAGATCCTTTTTTGAATTGACATGCTTTTATAAAAATTAGCTGATAAAAATCATATTTACTATAGATAATGTGAGACAATTTTTCATTTTTAGGTTTTTGTTAAGTAAACCTACCAGGCGAGGAGTTAAGATGTGTCATTTGTGCGGGAAGGATGTTGGCTGTCGTTCTAGAATTTGTAAATTCTGCAAAGTGATTACTGATACAAACTCTGAGAAAATCTCAATATTGGATCAGAAAAATCTTCTTGCAGTTAAACTTTGTGAGTACTTCCATTTGGAAAGTGTTTTATTCTCGGTGAAGAAAAACATGGACTCTTCCGAAGATAGATGTTTTGTTAAAAAAATTGATAGTTCCTGGAAGGGGGGAAATCGGCCTAGCAGCAGTAACACAGATCACAAATTTTCATGCAATTGTAATGGTATTGAGATTAACACTTGCATTCACATTTCATGTTTAAAACAAAAGCCAAACATCGTCAAAGCTAGAATTATTGCGTTGAAACCTCTCCTTATTGATATACTACCTATCGAATTTATGTTCAAAGAAAAACTTCGTAAACTTTGGGAAATATTTAAAGAAGATGAAAACTGTCCTCTAGTGCAGCAAGTTTGTCAGAATATACTGGTTGTGATGGATGTGACTTCAGATGCAAAGATATTGCCTTTTCATTATACACACGTACGTTTTGACAAAATAAGACGTCGAAATAACACTGAGTTTCATATATTCTGTTCAGGAGCAACATGTTCTGCTTGGAACGATGAGAAATTTAAAAGTCCAGTCACGTGTCTACATTATTGTATCGGTTTGTGGGCTATCGCTTCGGACAGCGAATTAAAGAAATACTTCCGTGCATTTCTGAATGCAGAACAAGTATACTTGCACAGTGATGTGTTCGACAATTAATTTGACGGTGATCCGTTTAACTTTTGCTTTCAAACATACATAAGTAGTTTACTTATTTATTGACACGGTTTTTTTTTGTTTGTTGGTAGTTATTAAATCATTGAATCTGCTAATCTTATCCGGTTTGTTAAAAGGCATTTGACACGATAAGATTTAATTCCTGAATATTAATTCTGAATTCCTGAATTAAATTTTTTTATACCAAAACAATTGTTGTGCTAAATTATTTATAAGGCATAATTTTTCTAATGAATTCGCCGTTTTTTAATAAAGAATGTTGGCGTAATTTGTTTTGACATCAATTCTTAAGTAAAGATGAAAAGCTCCGGTATCTTTGAATTAAATAATGATTAATTGCGTTACAGGATTATATTTTACCTTATATATAAAGTTAATTTATGGTTTAATTGTCTTCATTCATTTGCAACTGTGATTTCGAAAATGATTGGTTTTCACTGTCTCCACTACTGACAATGGAACATTCCTTAAAAATAAGAATTATCAAACAAATTTCATCTACTGTAGTGATTTCATAAAATACTGTAGAACCTCTATATGCGCAGGAAGTTCGATTTTAGTCTAATTGACCCATTCAATTTTACATGTGATTATATTTTTAAATATTTTTTATGCCATTTTTCACGATTCCTTCTTATATTTTATAGCGTACCTCTAGATTTCCATCTTCTAACAGATTTCCCTCCTCTAAACAATTTTCACTTTCCAAAAGCTCTTCACTCTTGTCAAGTTCGACTTTTGTGTCACTATTGTCATTCTCTGACCTCACAAACTTTTTCTCTGCATACTTTAAACGAATAAACTGAATTCGCTCATCCCTTAATAGAAATAAAAATTGTTTTCCTTGTAGTTCTATAATCTTTCATTAACAGGACAAATGTGAACGATGATTTTGACGGGTCGTTGAATGTGGAAAATGTGAAGGTTAGACAAACATTGCTTAAAGTTCTAACTGTAATGTTGACCCAAACCATATTATAGTTCTTAAATCCAAACAAACACGTGAAAATAATGAAATCCAAAGAGTCTCTAAGATTTTCTATAAACCTAAATAACATTACTACAATAACCAATCATAAACATAACTACAACAACCAATCATAAACATAATAACTACAACAACCAATCATAAACATAACTGCAACAACCAATCATAAACATCATAACTACAACAACCAATCATAAACATAACTACAACAACCAATCATGGTATCTGATTACTTGTTAGAATCCCGAGAAGGTTTCCTGTAACCATCCATATTATATTCATAAATTTCATTTACCAAGGTATTACCGCGTGACTCCATGAACTGAAAATTTCAAAACGAACGAAGTATGTCTTAACGTCATAGAAAATGGAAAATACTACAACATCAACAAATAACTTACCTTGACAACTTTTTCTTCCCATTTATCTAAGGTCAACGAACGTACTTTAGAAATATGAACTCCCAAGCTACGATGAACTCCCGAACATTCAATACACATGACAATACCAATGTTTATACTTGCCCAATCAGGACCTGAAGCAAAAACATTTAACGTTCACAATATTCGACCATACGAAATTAATTTTCCCTAATTTCAAACCTAGTTTACTTTGAACAGTTTTGGTAATATTTCATGTTGGCAGAATTACAACTTTTGTTTTCATTTAGTGAGTTGAGAGGAGTATGAAAGTGGAATAAAAGCGGCACAATAAAATCGTTACTTTTCTTGGATAAAAAGTTATCTAGCACTTACGAGGATGTGTACAATCAACACATGTTTTATTTCCTTGGACTTTTCTAATTCGCTCAGAAGCGTTTGTGGCATACTGCTTATCATCCTCCGGTTTAACATAACCATAAGCATAAGTTGGTTGCAGCGACTACAAGGAGCGTCGTAGGACATCAGTTGATTACAACGTATGGAGCAAAGAATCAATTAAAAAGATATACCTGAAGTTTTTCCTTAGATTTCTTAAAAGCTTCCGTCGTTGCTGCCTGAAATTGATTATTACCCGTCAAACAAGTGGATTCTATAAGGAACTTTAACTAACGTTGCCCAACGATTAATGAACAAGGTAAGTAAGATAAATAATAATATGTTTGCCTGGATAGCAGCAATCCATTGATGCATGTCGTTTTCTGTCAAGGCTTGTAGGATTTGTTCGCTTTTAGGTGATGTAAGCTAGAGTAAACAATGAGAAGATGTTTTGTTTCTTTCTCCTTTCAGTGTTTACCTCGTCACACGTGTAACATACTTGGAAACAAAAATTTCGATCAATTTCTAGCTCGTCACATGTCTTTACGTTGCTTAGTAAGAGATTAGCAAATTCATTAGGCTCCTTTTCATCTTTGCCTTGAACCAATAACTTTCCTGAGGCTTCGTCGACGATAAAATACTACATGTAGTAGAATAACAACAAGGTTAAACAAGATGTACAATTCGTTTTGAAGAAAATATGTCAGCCCGAATAGTATTAGAACTAATGGTAGTCAACGTTTCGGGATAGAGGTAATTACTGTCGACACTTTGGGGGTAACACTAAGGTTGAGAAAGTCAATACTAAGGAATAATTGAGGTGGTAGACTAAAAATGCGCATTTTAGGGTGATTACGTGCATTCAATACATATGCAACGGCCACGAGTCAATGACAAAAGTTGTAATTTATAAATTTGTAAAACGCATTACTAGTAAAGGCCATTTGTTTTTAGGAAATGATCTTTGTCGCAATCTCAGATAACCACGGTGATAATTTGGCCATTTTGAAACTGGGACAATGTCAGAAAGGTCTTTTTCCACATTGTCAGTGAAAGATCTGAAAAATACAATTAACAGTTAATAAGGTATGGTGATTTCAACTAACAGTTTTATGAAACTACAAAGATTTGTCCTTTGATAAATGTTTGTAAATCGTGATCTGCATCAAACAAGTTATAGGAAATCTTCTAGTAAAAATCTTTGGGACTGAAAAAGTTTTCATAATAATGACTAACTTTTCATTCAGCTCGTTGTCGATTTCTGCTGTGTTTGATGGTGTATTTTGTAAGAGTAATTCATTGTTTGCAAGTTTGTTGCTTTTACATTCATTATTCACAGATTTTTCTGTTTCAGCCGATTTAAATTCGCTCCACGTAGAAATCTCTTCCTTTTCTGTTTTGGCAGTAGCTAAACAATTGTTTATTAAATGTTTTAACTATACAACACTGACTATACTAAAATTGATACATTCTGAAGGTAAAAGTAACAATATATTTTGCTTGAAACGTTTAATAAAATCAGATCGCCAACACAACATGATATAACCTAATACCGTGCTATTTAGATTATTCTCGATAACGTATTGTATGCACAAGAAACGTAGAAAGAAAAGTTTAAATTCGATAGTTATCATTTTTAGAAGAGTAGCTATATTAATTTTGTTACTTTTTTCCAAAACGTCAACCTCAATAAAATCTATACGCAAATGCCATAGAAATAAAGTAAAGCAGAACTTTGTAAAGTAAACATTTATTTATAAGTGCCATAAAAAATAATATCTTTTCCTACTACAACACCCACGGCTCGGCAATTTTACTTTTCAGGTATTCAGACAAAGCGCAAAAAATCAATTTGGTTAGTTTTAACTTCCTTATGAGGGAAATCTTACAAGTTTGGTTTTGTTCAATGTTTTCGTTTGACGTGTTTGATTTAATATCTTCTGGTTCCTTTTTTTCTCCATTTCGCACGTCTTCCAATTGATCCTAAATTTAAAAATAAAAAATGGGCTGCGATAATAAGAGAGTTTAGTGGCATTCAGCCAAATGAATATCTGAAGTATGAAGAAAGATAAGGAAATACAATGTGTGGTTGGAAGAGACGGTAAATAATAAATGTTGGTAAAATTGTAGGTTTCATGCCCGTAACAAAAAAGTGAAATAGAAGCTTATTTTTTATAATATTTTTCATCAATTTTGCACCTCTTGAGCCCCGTTTACTCTTGTAGGCGACGCCTCCAGCGTAACATTCTGACCTCTTTTTATAGATGGTTCACGGAGACCTAAAGGAGACAAATAAAAACTTATGATAAGATAAGTACTACTAAGCGTGAGAGACAGAGAACAATGTGGGAATGTAGGGTTGTTGGTCCAAAACCTCACACATCATCTTTAAATTTGGAGTATGAATTTAATCAAGCAATAACAATGTAAACGAGCGTTCTTTTTATCTAGGAGATGAAAGAGAGGGCTTTGTTTCACTAACTACAATCGAAAATGTCTTCTGCTGTCTTTTTCACCTTGATAACATCCAAAGAGCATTCATTTTAATTGTTCAGCAATTTACAAGTGAACTCTATCAGAAATCACCTGAATTTCCAAGTAAGCCGTTAATTCTGTTGAAAAATTTTCCTGCTTGAGTGTTTACTGTGGTCACAGATTGCGCTAAAGTTGTTGACCTACAAAAATTATCAAAATTTTGCCATTAATAGCTCTTCTCACACAGCTCAAGGGTGATGGTATGTTCTTAGAATCCCTCATTATCATGTAACATACCCTAGGAAAGTGACCGGTTCATGAAAAGCACCTTTATCTTTCTCCAAAGCTCTGTCAATTTTCAACTGAACGAGTTTCTTTAGCCTTGCATCATTTTCGCATTGAATCTACACATTGAGTAGTACCATACACAATTTCTTAACTGTTGTCAAGAGTTCCATACGTAAACCTTTACCATACGTAAACCTTCACCATACGTAAACCTTTACCATATGTAAACCTTCACCATACGTAAACCTTTATTAATTTACCTCACTGTGAACAACTCTATTCAGTAAGTTGTCAAAAAAGACATTTGTATACTCCTCAGATTCTTTGAATATCTTAAATGATAGTTTTAATGGAAAAGTGTTATCAAGATAGCTGAATGACTTGAATTAAATAATAAAATGCACTAAACCTGATAAGAAAAGTTTATAAAGAAATACTTTGCCAAAATATGTTCAACCATAGTTTTCACAAAAGAAATCTTAAAGAAAAAACAATGACATTCAATTAAAGATAAAACAGTCCTTATTAGTGTTCTACTATCTTGTACCTTTTTGACAGAATTCATTTCTCTCAAGGAGTTGATATAAGTTGACAGCAACATGTGATAATGATGTCTTGAAGTGAACAAGTTAAATGCAAGCTTGTCCAAAACTGAAGACTTAATAATAAATATTGACAATATGAAAACAATGGCTATGTTATATAAAATCTTCTACAATCATGTACACATTATGAAACTCCTAAAGCAAACCTCTGGGAGTGTGTTGATATTTTGACAGTTTGAAAACTTTTCCCAAGATATTGTGAGATCATGTCTAGCTTTTGCAACTTGCTGTTTCATTTCCTGATTGTTTTTCACAAAATAAGAAATATACTGGAGTTACATTACAAAATTTTGTAAGTAAAGGATAATTTGAGATGCCAAGGCAGAGATAAAACATCAAAATAATATAGCAATAATAGCTATGGCTATGACTATTGTCATTGCTTTGAAAGAGAAATTCTTTAGAAAGGTACCTTGACTTTCTCGAATTCCTTTGACAAAGTTTCAAGCTGATTGCACAGAAGCATTTCTGTTTGATTGAGGAACATTCCATGATAACAATCCACTCTTTGTAACATGTCAGTGAACTAGAGACAATATATCATTTATAGAGCAGTTAATGCAACAGATATTGTTGATGTTTTATTGAAATAAAGGTATTGGTCCCAAATTATAGTTATATTACATTATAATTAGCCTGTCTGTGTGCAATGATTATTAGTGAAACAAGTTTGCAATTGTTGTTTCTAAAAGTTGTGCATTTTCTTAAAGAGCTTAAGGTTTTCCTCACAATATAATATTGAGAATGGTTAAGGTAGTAATTTTATAATGCTACAGAAATAACTGGAAGTAATAAAGTTGGTCAATTTATACTTGGTATTGTACGGTACCTTTATAAGAGGAGTTTTTAAATTGTCATCTTTTGAAAAAACTTTGGCAACCCTTTGCATACCCAATGTCAAATTTTCACTAGCAGTACTGAAGGCCAATGCAGTTGTACGGTAAATATTGGCACAATTAGCAACATGATTAATGACACTTCCAATCTATATTATTTCAAATACAAAAATTCAAATACGTAATGAAAACAAAAATTCTCATAAAATTGTTATAACTCATGACATCTCTATATCTGTCGACGTTTTTCTCATTCATCAATTCTTAATTTACACATAAGAAATTTATTTATCATTATGAAAGTTGAGAATTACGGTAGAATGGCAGTAAAACGACCTTAGATTTAAATTTTTAAACTAAACTTAACATTTCTGACAAAATTTTGTTGTAAATGGGATGAAAATTAAAATAAGTTTTACTATTTTCCTTAGGTATAGTTAACAAAACATTTTGGTCGATGTCACATCGTTCAGTAAACAGTAAAAACATTACAGAAAAATGACTAATTCTAATAAAGTATGTTGTGATTTTTTAATCTATAAGTAACGATTAAGTATATAAACAGAGCCAAATAATATAGACATTATTTCAACATTCATTATTAAACACCTCTTCTGTTCGTTCTTCCCAAAAGTTCAAATTTTGTATACAGTAGGGGCTTTCGTCCAAGATAAATCCCAATGTCGGTAGGTCTGGCAAGATATTTCTTTCTTCTTTCAAATAAAATGTCATATTTTGAAATTCGATTTTTTAACCAAAACAAAAATGAGAACAGAAACGATAAGAAAGTTAAAAATAAAAGAATGTTGGCTAACACTAGTCTGAACGAAGCACACTATTTAACTCCAAACTTGAAGTTGTTTTCGTAGATATCAATTTCATCACAGCAAAGGATTGAACACAGCACTGCATTGACCCAGGATTGAGCACTGGATTGAATACAGGAGAATGGCGTGAACACAGGATTGACTGAATACGGGATTGACATATAAGGATTCAGCACGGGATTGAACAAAGCCTAAAAGAAAGGGATCTGAGCGTTCCTATTAAATTGATTTCGATGAGGTTAAAGATTTTACTCATACTTTTTTAAGCTTATTTTTTATCATGCTTTCAAAGAGATGTTTCAATCAAGTTCAAAAAAATGCTGACGAAAGAAGCCAAGAGATTTAAGACAAGATTTAAAGTTAATGTTATCAGAAAAAATGGTTGACGTTAATACGATTGTGAGAACAAACATGTAGTTAGGAATATAGTTTGTGGGGTTAGGAGGTGTTCGTGAGGATAGGAGTAGGGTTTATGGGTTTAATAGTAGGGTTTAGTTGAAGGATTTATAAGGTTAGGACTAAGGTTTATGGGGTTAGGAGCAGGGGTGGCGCTAGAGGGGGTGGAACACCCCCCTCTTGTCAGCGAGTCGGAAAATTTTATTTTTATTCGAAAAATTGTAAAACAGCCAGGGGAAATTTTTTTAAGAGTAAAAAAAGCGATACCTCTCTAAGCTATCTTTGATAATTTGATAGCAGCAGTACACTCGAAGCTTTTATTTTATCATCAGTTTGATATTCGTGAATAACAATATTGAATGCAAAGTCTTTTTTACAGTGAGTTTTTGTCACATCATTTAAGGCACTTAATAAGTACTTGCAAAAATAAATTTACTTTTAGTTGGAGAGTGTTGAGTGTTCCCAATCTATCGAAGATTGTTTTAAACATTGCTGAGTGAAAATACATCAACTATAGACTTTGGCATGAAAATGTGTGAAAATGCATGAACTAAAGTATTTGGCATGAAAATGCGTTAAAATGAAAGAACTAAAGTCTTTGGCACAAAAATGTGTAAACTATAGTCTTTTTCATGAAAAATCGTGAACTATAAACTTTTGCATGAAAATTCGTGCACTAGAGTCTTTTGAATGAAAATTGGTGAACTTTAGTCTTTTGCGTGAAAATTCGTGGACTATAGTCTTTTTCATGAAAAATCGTGAATTATATTCTTTTGCATCAAAATTGGTGAACTATAGTCTTTTGCATGAAAATTCGGGAACTATAATCTTTTGCATGAGAATTTATGAATTATAGTCTTTTGCATGAAAAATCGTGAACTATAGTCTTTTGCGTGAAAATTTGTGAACTATAGTCTTTTGCTTGAAAATTGGTGAACTATAGTCTTTTCTATGAAAATTGGTGAACTATAGTCTTTTCTATGAAAATTGGTGAACTATAGTCTTTTGCATGAAAAATCGTGAACTATAGTCTTTTCCATTACAATTCGTGAATTATAGTCTTTAACATGAAAATCGTGAATTATAGTCTTTTAAATAAAAAATCGTGAATTATAGTCTTTTACATCAAAAATCTTGAATTATAGTTTATTGCACGAAAAATCGTGAATTATAGTCTTTTGAATGAAATTTGGTGAACTATGGTCTTTTGCATGAAAATTTGTGAACTACAGACTTTTGCATGAAAATTCGTGAATTATAGTCTTTTGCATGAAAATTGGTCAACTACAGTCTTTTGCATGAAAATTGGTGAACTATAATCTTTTGCATGAAAAGTCTTTTTCATGCAAAAGACTATTTTCATGCAAAAGACTATAGTTCAAGAATTTTCGTGCAAAAGACGATTTTTCATGCAAAAAACTATAATTCACGATTTTTCATGCAAAAGACTATAGTTCACGATTTTTCATGCATAAGACTATAATTCACGATTTTCATGCAAAAGATTATAGTTCACGATTTTTCATGCAAAAGACTATAATTCCCGATTTTCATGCAAAAGACTATAGTTCATGATTTTTCATGCAAAAGACTATAATTCACAAATTTTCACATTTTCTCACACAAAGACTATAGTTCACGAATTTTCACAAATTTTTACATTTTCTCGTAAAAAGACTATATTTCGCGCATTTTCACAAATTTTCACATTTTCTCACACAAACGCTATAATTCACGCATTTTCACAAATTTTCACATTTTCTCACACAAAGACTATAGTTCACAAATTTTCACAAATTTTCACATTTTCTCACACAAAGACTATAGTTCATGCATTTTCACAAATTTTCACATTTTCTCACACAAAGACTATAGTTCATGCATTTTCACAAATTTTCACATTTTCTCACACAAAGACTATAGTTTACACATTTTCACAAATTTTCACATTTTCTCACACAAAGACTATAACTCACGCATTTTCACAAATTTTCACATTTTCTCACAAAAAGACTATAGTTCATGCATTTTCACAAATTTTTACATTTTCTCACACAAAGACTATAATTCACGCATTTTCATAAATTTTCACATTTTCTCACACAAAGACTATAATCATGCATTTTCACAATTTTCACATTTTTCACACAAAGACTATAGTTCATGCATTTCACAATTTTCACATTTTCTCACACAAAGACTATAGTTCATGCATTTCACAATTTTCAATTTTCTCACACAAAGACTATAGTTCATGCATTTTCACAATTTTCACATTTTCTCACACAAAGACTATAGTTCATGCATTTTCACAATTTTCACATTTTTCACACACAAAGACTATAGTTCATGCATTTTCACAAATTTTCACATTTTCTCATAAAGACTATAGTTCATGCATTTTCACAAATTTTCACATTTTTCACACAAAGACTATAGTTCATGCATTTTCACAAATTTTCACATTTTCACAAAGACTATAGTTTGCATTTTCACAATTTTCACATTTTTCACACAAAGACTATATTCATGCATTTTCACAATTTTTCATGATTTTCTCACACAAAGACTATAGTTCATGCATTTTCACAAATTTTCTGATTTTCTCACAAGACTATAGTTCATGCATTTCACAATTTTCACATTTCTTCATTCATAAAGACTATAGTTCATGCATTTTCACATTTTACATTTTTCTCACACAAAGACTATAGTTCATGCATTTTCACAATTTTCACATTTCTCACACAAAGACTATAGTTCATGCATTTTCACAAATTTTACATTTTCTCACACAAAGACTATAACTACGTGATTTTCACAATTTCACATTTTCTTCACAAAGACTAGTTCACGCATTTTCACAAATTTTCACATTTTTCTTTCACACAAAGACTATAACTCACATGATTTTCACAATTTTTTACATTTTCTCACACAAAGACTATAGTTCATGCATTTTCACAAATTTTCTATTTTTCATTAACAAAGACTATAGTTCATGCATTTTCACAAATTTTCACATTTTCTCACAAAGACTATAGTTCATGCATTTTCACAATTTATATTTTTCTTTTCACATTAAAGACTTTAGAATTCATGCATTTCACAACTTTTCACATTTTCTCACACAAAGACTATAGTTCATGCATTTTCACAATTTCAATTTTCACACAAAGACTATAGTTCATGCATTTTCACAATTCTCACATTTTCACATTAAAGACTATAGTTCATGCATTTTCACAATTTTACATTTTCTCACACAAAGACTATAGTTCATGCATTTTCACAAATTTCACATTTTCTCACACAAAGACTATAATTCACGCATTTTCACAAATTTTCACATTTTCTCACATAAAGACTATAATTCATGCATTTTCACAAATTTTCACATTTTTTCACACAAAGACTATAGTTCATGAATTTTCACAAATTTTCACACTTTTCACACACAAAGACTATAGTTCATGCATTTTCACAAATTTTCACATTTTTCACACAAAGACTATAGTTCATGCATTTCCAAATTTCACATTTTCTCACACAAAGACTATAGTTCATATTTTCACTTTCACATTTTCATTAATAAAGACTATAGTTCATGCATTTTCACAAATTTTCACATTTTCTCACACAAAGACTATAGTTCATGCATTTTCACAATTACATTTTTCACACAAAGACTATAGTTCATGCATTTTCACAAATTTTCACATTTTCTCACACAAAGACTATAGTCATGCATTTTCACAATTTTCACATTTTTTCACACATTAAAGACTATAGTTCATGCATTTTCACAATTTCACATTTTCACACAAAGACTATAGTTCATGCATTTTCAATTTTATATTTTCTCACAAAGACTATAGTTCATGCATTTTCACAAATTTTCACATTTTCTCACACAAAGACTATAACTCACGATATTTCACAAATTTTCACATTTTCTCACAAAAAGACTATAGTTCATGCATTTTCACAAATTTTTACATTTTCTCACACAAAGACTATAGTTCATGCATTTTCACAAATTTTCACATTTTCTCACACAAAGACTATAATTCACGTGATTTTCACAATTTCACATTTTCTCACAAAGACTATAGTTCATGCATTTTCACAATTTCCATTTTCACACAAAGACTATAGTTCATGCATTTTCACAATTTTCACATTTTCACACAAAGACTATAGTTCATGCATTTTCACAAATTTTTACATTTTCTCACACAAAGACTATAGTTCATGCATTTTCACAAATTTTTATATTTTCTCACACAAAGACTATAGTTCATGCATTTTCACAAATTTTCACATTTTCACACAAAGACTATAGTTCATGCATTTTCTTCACAATTTCACATTTTCTCACACAAAGACTATAGTTCATGCATTTTCACAATTTTCACATTTTCTCACAAAGACTATAGTTCATTCATTTTTACAATTTTCACATTTTCTCACACAAAGACTATAGTTCATGCATTTTCACAATTTCACATTTTCTCACACAAAGACTATAGTTCATGCATTTTCACAATTTTACATTTTCTCATTAAAGACTAGTCTGCGTATTTTCACAATTTTACATTTTTCTCACACAAAGACTATAGTTCATGCATTTTCACAAATTTTCACATTTTCTCACATTAAAGACTATAGTTCATGCATTTTCACAATTCTTTCACATTTTTTTTCTCACACACAAAGACTATAGTCATGCATTTTCATACAATTTTCACATTTTCTCACACAAAGACTATAATTCACGCATTTTCACAATTTTCACATTTTCTCACACAAAGACTATAATTCATGCATTTTCACAATTTTCACATTTTCTCACACAAAGACTATATAGTTCATGCATTTTCACAAATTTTATCATTTTCACACAAAGACTATAGTTCATGTTTTCAAATTTTCTACATTTTTCACACAAAGATCTATAGTTTATAAGTATTTTCACAAATTTTCATGATTTTTCTCACATTAAAGACTATAGTCATGCATTTTCACAAATTTTCACATTTTCACACAAAGACTATAATCATGCATTTTCACAAATTTTCACATTTTCTCACATAAAGACTATATTCATGCATTTTCACAAATTTTCACATTTTCTCACATTAAAGACTATAGTTCATATTTTTCACAATTTTCATTTTTCACACAAAGACTATAGTTCATGCATTTTCATTTTCAAATTTCACATTTTTCACACAAAGACTATAGTTCTACGCATTTTCAATTTTAAATTCCTTTCTACATTTTCACACAAAGATTATAGTTCATGCATTTTCACAAATTTTCACATTTTCTCACACAAAGACTATAATTCATGCATTTTCACAAATTTTCACATTTTCACACAAAGACTATAGTTCATGCATTTTCACAAATTTTCATTTTTTCACACAAAGACTATAATTTATTTCACAAATCTTTACATTTTCTCACATAAAGACTATAGTTCATGCATTTCACAAATTTTCACATTTTCTCACACAAAGACTATAGTTCATGCATTTTCACAATTTTCACATTTTCACACAAAGACTATAGTTCATGCATTTTCACAATTTTCACATTTTCTCACACAAAGACTATAGTTTCATGCATTACAAATTTCACATTTTCTCACACAAAGACTATAGTTCATGCATTTTCACAATTTCACATTTTCTCACACAAAGACTATAATTCATGCATTTTCAAATTTTTACATTTTCACACAAAGACTATATAGTTCATGCATTTTCACAATTCTATTTTTCACACAAAGACTATAGTTCATGCATTTTCACAATTTTCTCACACAAAGACTATAGTTCATGCATTTTCACAAATTTTTACATTTTCTCACACAAAGACTATAATTATGCATTTTCATAAATTTTTTCACATTTTCTCACACAAAGACTATAGTTCATGC